AGAGTGATACTATTATGTTCTGAGTGGTTTTTGGGGCATTGCTACAGCAGGTGGTTGCTAGTGTGTTGTGAGTGGTTGCTAGGGTGATGCTATTATTTTCTGCATGGTTTCTATGGCGTTGCTACACTATATTGTTGATAGGGTGTTCTGAGTGGTTGCTAGGGTGATGCTATTATGTTCAGCATGTTTTCTAGGGAATTGCTACACTAGGTGGTTGCTAGGACATTTTGAGTGGTTACTATGGTGATGCTATCAAGTTCTGCATTTTTAGGTAATTGCTACAGTAGGTGGTTGCTAAGTTGTTCTGAGTAGTTGCTAGGGTGATGCTATTATGTTCTGCATGGTTTCTAGGGAATTGCCTATATGGTTACTAAGGCGTTCTGAGTGGTTCCTAGGTGGTTGCTAGTGTGTTCTGTAGGGCATTGCTAGGCATTTGCTCTGAGTGGTTCTTAGGGAGTTTCTATGCGGTTACTAAAGTGTTCTGAGTGGTTGCTAGGGCATTGCTTGGTAGATGTCAGTGCATAGTTCTGCATTGTTTCTAGGGCATTGCTAGGGTGTTTCTGTGTCGTTACTAAGGTGTTGTGAGTGGTTGCTAGGACATTGTTAGGTGGATGTTAGTGTGTTTTGTGTGATTGCTGGGGCATTGCTAGGTAGATGTCAGTGTGCTCTGTGTGATTGCTAGGGCATTGCTAGGTGGATGTTAGTGTGTGTTCTGCATGGTTTCAAGAGCATTGCTAAGTGGTTGCTAGGGCACTGCGAGATGGATGTTAATGTTTTCTGCAAGGTGGTTTCTAGGGCATTGCTAGGCATTTGCTAGGTTACTCTGAGTGGTTCTTAGGGAGTTTCTATGTGATTACTAAAGTTTTCTGAGTGGTTGCTAGAGCATTGCTAGGTGGTTGTTAATGTGTTCTGGGAGGTTACTAAAGTGCTCTGAGTAGTTGGTGGTTGTTAGTGTGTTCTAAGTGGTTGCTAGGATGTTTCTATGCAGTTAATAGGGGTAACTAGGACAATGCTATGGTATCGCTATAGGGTTACTCACTAAAGTACTCTGAGTAGTTAGAATGTTGAGTGTTGCTAGGTGGTTAGTTTGTTCTGAATGCTAGAACAATGCTGGGGTTTTCTAAGGGGTTGCTAGGAAGTTTCTGTGCAGTTACTAGGGTGTGGTTGCTAGGACAGAGCAGAGGTGTAAAGAGTACCTAAAAACCATACTTGAGTAAAATTACAGATACCTTACAGTGAAAATTACTCCACTACACGTTACAAGTCACCAATTCCAAAACAACTTGAGTAAAAGCCTTAGAGTATCTGATTTTAACAGTACTTAAAAGGGTTAGTTCACCCAAAACTAACCCGTATCGTATCGTATCGGGCTTTGTAAGCTCAGTCCGTTAAGTCTGTGTTTTGGTTAGTGATTAATTAATCAAACCAAACAAACACATACACAGAGCTATAGTCTCAGCAAATCAAATTAAAATGAAATTAAGACATGCAGATTAATTTAATCCAGTTTCTCTCATAAAATCAGGCCAAGAAGGAACTCCGCTGATGCTTTGGTGCTGGGTTTGATAGTCGACTGAATTTAATATTTAGTGTGTTCAAAATATTTTTATCAAAGCGAACATTAAAAATTAAATCTATATTGAATCTTAAAAGTTGTGATTGTTTCAGACTTGCGTTTTGTTAGAAAGCTAAAATATATTTATTCTTTCAGGTTCTGATGGACAACCAACATGCTGTTTGCAAGTTAACTGCTAATTTGTAGTGTGTGTTTTTTAAAGAATGCTGCTGGTAAGTATTCCTTGTTCAGGTAAACACTAGGCTCTTTTGACTTGGTCAAGCAGGCAACTAGCAACTCCCTAGCAACCCCTTAGAACACCTCAACATTGTTCCAGCAACCATTCAGATCACACTATCCACCTAGCAACACTACTTAAGTAACCCCATAGCAAAGAGGTGTAATGTATTGGAGTAAATGTAATTAGTTACTTTACATGAGTATCTTTTTGGATACTTTGTAGTTGTACTGAGTATCAAAGATATTAGCAACTTTTACTCTCTACTTCACTACATTATTGAATGAGTATCTGTACTCTTTACTCCACTACATTTTAAATGAGTGTTGCAGTTACACATTACATGTTGCATGGAACTAGCTTTTTCTGCAGCAGTTTATTTCTGCTACAAAAGACATGATACTGCCTATTACAGGTCACTGAAAGTACTGCATCTTGTGCATTTTGCCCTTACTCACCCAGACTTTTCAACAAGGCTGCTTTACGTGAATGCGAGTTCCTTAGCAAATATTTGTGAATCACAGGTGTTATATATGAGAAAGAGGACATGACTGCAGCTGGCAATGAGGCCCAAACCAGCACATCCAGTGCAAGAAGGCTTCGGCTTTTTAATTTTACTTGAACATTATTTGATTTATCCATTATACTGAAGAGAACTTTTTGAAGGATATTGTTTTTTTTTGTTTGTTTGTTTTTTTATTTTGAGGTGTTCAGTTTTATTTTGGTTTAGAAAATAAACGTGATTGCTCTCCTCACAAATCAACTCTTTCTTGTATTTGTTACATGTTCTCTGTGCCCCGCCCTGGACTTTTATGTCACTTCCTGTCTCCGGGGGTGTTTGTAGTCAGTTTGTAGTCCGTTTGTTCATTGGTTCCCCTTGATTAGTTTCCTCAGGTGTGTCTTATCTTGTTAAGGCCTGTTCACATCAAGCACGATAACTATAAAGATAACGATAAAAATATAGTTATAAAAAATTTTCTCAATATTAAAGAATATAAGAGTCCACACCACAGCTATAACGATAATGGCACAGAGAAATTATATCGTTGGAATCATTTTCAGAACAATTTTTTTCCAGCTATTGAACAATAAAAACATTGACAGCCAATCAGAATCAATCCTGCTATCACGAGTTTGAGAATTTAAAGCGACAGACGAGTGTACGCTTAGAATAATCAGACGATATTATCATCCGCTGGTGTGGACGCTAATATCGTTATCTTTATTGTTATCTTTCTTGGTGTGAATGGGGCTTTAAGCTTTTTAGCCCCCTGTGTTTATATATAGCCCTAGTGTTTCTTTAGTTCCTTGTGAGTTGTTGAATGTAGGCCTAATGGTTGTCTGTTTGCCAGTCATTCTGTTCCTTGTTCCCTTTGGTTTTTGGCTTATTGTTTGTTCTAGTTTTTCCATTAAATACCTGCACATAGATTCTTGCCTCTGCCATTTTCCCCAGCTTCTCCACAACATTACAGTTTTCACTGGCAAATCTCTTTGACTAGTGCATTTTTTGTAGCCTATATTTAGTATAAGTAAAATACTTAAAGGGATAGTTCACCCAACAATGAAAATTCAGTCATTAATTACTCACCCTCATATCGTTCTAAACCCGTAAGACCTCCGTTCGTCTTCAGAACACAAATTAAGATGTTTTTGATGAATTCTGAGAGCTCTCTGACCCTCCCATAGACAGCAATGTAATTACCACGCGGATACGTTTATCTACGTTGTTTACGCTTTGATGAACAATGTATCCACGTGATGCAGCTGACACAGAATAGCATCCTCTGTTTACGTTCAGTGGATATTCTCCAAAATGGCACCAGGGTGACGTGGAGGAGACGAATTGTTGAATAAAGTCATTATTTTTGTTTTCTTTGTGTATAAAAAGTATTCTCGTAGCTTCGTAAAATTACGGTTGAACCCCTGTTGTCACATGGATTATTTTACTGATCTTCTTGCTACGTTTCTGGACCTTGATCATGGTAATTGCATTGCACAAGATGCAGTACTTTCAGTGACCTGTAATAGGCAGTATCATGTCTTTTGTAGCAGAAATAAACTGCTGCAGAAAAAGCTATTTCCATGCAAAATGTAATGTGTAACTGCAACACTCATTTAAAATGTAGTGGAGTAAAGAGTACAGATACTCATTCAATAATGTAGTGAAGTAGAGAGTAAAAGTTGCTAATATCTTTGATACTCAGTACAACTACAAAGTATCCAAAAAGATACTCATGTAAAGTAACTAATTACATTTACTCCAATACATTACACCTCTTTGCTATGGGGTTACTTAAGTAGTGTTGCTAGGTGGATAGTGTGTTCTGAATGGTTGCTGGAACAATGTTGAGGTGTTCTAAGGGGTTGCTAGGGAGTTGCTAGTTGCCTGCTTGACCAAGTCAAAAGAGCCTAGTGTTTACCTGAACAAGGAATACTTACCAGCAGCATTCTTTAAAAAAAACACACTACAAATTAGCAGTTAACTTGCAAACAGCATGTTGGTTGTCCATCAGAACCTGAAAGAATAAATATATTTTAGCTTTCTAACAAAACGCAAGTCTGAAACAATCACAACTTTTAAGATTCAATATTTGAATTTTTAATTTTTAATGTTCGCTTTGATGAAAATATTTTGAACACACTAAATATTAAATTCAGTCGACTATCAAACCCAGCACCAAAACATCTCTCCAGCATCAGCGGAGTTCCTTCTTGGCCTGATTTTATGAGAGAAACTGGATTAAATTAATCTGCATGTCTTAATTTAATTTTAATTTGATCTCCTGAGACTATAGCTCTGTGTGTGTGTTTGTTTGGTTTGATTAATTAATCACTAACCAAAACACAGACTTAACGGACTGAGCTTAAAAAGCCCGATACGATCCACGTGTGAGAAACAGAGCAGAACAGCCCTAAAACTTCACCAGATTTCACCCAACTACCCCTGCAGCAGAGTAAATAGTGGAACAGATGCGCTCGCCTATTAACCAGGCTTAATTAGACAACTACAGCCCTCACCGCTTTCATTTATAATCGCAGGGCTTGACAGGCCTAATAAGATCAAGGTACTAAAGTGAGAAGAAGCTTCAGAGTCGTGTTTTATTAACTGATTCAGACAAAGGAGGGGAATTAGAGCATGAACTAAATAAAGCATCAGTTGAATTGATGCTGTGGTTTACTCAGTGTACCTGTGTGTGTGTTTTCCAGAGCGTGTGTCATCCTCGGGGTTGTGTTCATCTTGTCGGCCATCACTATCCTGGTCAAAGCCATCCATGACCTCGCCACAAAACTGCAACCAGAAGTGGTAAGAAAACACATAATTCTGTATCTTATTTGGTTAATTAATTTGTTCATTCACTGACTTGATTTAGTTGATTTATCAATTGCATTGGTTGATTGATTATTTCAGTTGTTGATGCATTTGTTTGTTCATTCACTCACTAAGCCAGGGGTGTCCAAACTCGGTCCTGGAGGGCCAGTGTCCTGAAGAGTTTAGCTCCAACCCCAAGTAAACACACCTGAACCAGCTAATCAAGCACCCCTGCACTAAGCAAACAAATGAATCATTGAATCAGAATCAGAATCAGAAGAGCTGTATTACCAAGTATGTTTACACAAAAAAGGGAATTTGACTTGACAACAGGAGCTTCCAGTGCAGAAGAAAGTACAGACATAGTGCAGGATGTAATGCAGTCCCATGTTGACTGCATTGTCCATAGACCTTTTTGCTCTGTAGGCAAACTGAAGAGGATCCAGCAAGGGTCCAGTGATGTCCTTCAGGTAGGCCAGGACCAGTCGCTAAAATGACTTCATGACCACAGACGTGAGAGTGGTTTTGGGTTTTTTGGGGACCGGAATGATGGTGGAGCGTTTGAAGCAGCAGGGAAATTCACACAGCTCCAGTGATCTGTTGAAGATCTGTGTGAAGATGGGGACCAGTTGGTCAGTGCAGACTTTTAAATAGGCAGGTGAAACACCGTCTGGGCCTGAAGCTTTCTTAGATTTCGGCTTCCTGAATACCCGGTTCACATTCCCTACACAGACCTTAAGTGCAGGTTGAATGATTTTTTTTTTTGCCACTCTGATTTCCTTTGTTAGTCTGTTGCTGGCCTGGTTATACAAGATTTTATCCCCACTTCTGTAAGCATCCTCTTTGGCATGACAAAGCTGTTTGAGTTTCCCAGTAAACCATGGTTTATCATTATTGAATGATAAGAATGTCTTGGTGGGGAGACACATATCCTCATAGAAACTGATATATGAAGTTACAGCTTGTCCAGATCGGTGGCAGCAGAGTCGAAGCAGTCTTGTAAATCCCGCTCTGCTTCATTAATCCATCTTTTAAGAGTCCTTAAAACAGGTTTAGCTGATTTCAGTTTCTGCCTGTAGGTCCGTATAATAAGAACCATATTCATTGAATTGGTTGAACAAACAAACAAATCATTGGTTGGATTGGTTGATTGATTGTTCCTCTGTTGATTTATCCATTCATTTGTTTGTTTATTCACTCATTCACTAACTTATTCATTGTAGTGGTTGATTCATCAGTTTGTTTGTTATTTATTCACTCACTGATTCCTTCATTGGATTGGTTGATTGATTGTTCCAGTGGTTGGGTTAGGGTTAGAACCCTAACCCAATGAACTGATTAATTCATTGGATTGGTCGATTGGTTGTATCAGTTGCTGATTCCTTCGTTCGTTCAATCGTTCAGTGATTGATTAATTAATTTGTTTGTTCATTCACTCACTCAATGATTTATTCATTGTAGTGGTTGATTCATTCATTCATTCATTCGTTTGTTTGTTTGTTTGATCATTAACTGATTCATTCATTGGATTGGTTGATTAGTTGTTCCAGTGGTTGATTCATTTGTTTGTTTAGTCCTTCAGTGATTTTTTTCATTAATTTGTTCGTTTGTTCAATTACTCATTCACTGATTTATTCATTGTATTGGTTGATGTCTTTGTTCGTTTAATCACTAACTGATTCATTCATTAGTTTGGTTGATTGGTTTTTCCGATGGCTGATTCATTCATTCATTTGTTTGTTCATTAAATCACGGATTTATTTATGCATTAGTTGATTGATTGTTCCAGTGGTTGATTCATTAATTTGTTCGTTTGTTTATTCACTAATTGATTGATTCATTGGATTGGTTGTTCCAGTGGCTGATTCATTTGTTTGTTTGTTTTTGTTCGTTCATTCACTCTCTGATTTATTCATTGCATTGGCTGAATGATTGTTCCATTGATTCACTCACTCACTGGTTGATCCACTTGCTGATTCATTCATACGATTAGTTGACTGGTTGATTCATTCACTTGTTCAATCATTCACAGATTGATTCACTAATTCATCAGATTAGTTAACTGATTCACTGATTGATTGTCGTGACCAACTGTTATTTTGTTTTCTAAGCTGATTCGATTCTGTCATTTTCTAAATATATTTCTGTTTATTTGCTCTAAGCATTCATACTCCCCTATCTTATTTCCCCGCTGTCTTTTTATTGACTGTAAACTCAAGAGAGTCTGTCAGGTGAAGGACACCACATGCAAACACAACACTTCATCTTTTCATGTCGCTGGTTGTGTGAGTTTTCCCTCGGCTGGAACTAACGGCGCCTGCTAAACAGCAGAAGTGTAAAGCTGAATGAACACGACAAAGACAAGGTGTGAAGTCACGGACGAGATTAGAATAGTCTGATATCACTGTTGCCAGGCAACATGAAGAGGGGAAATAGTTTCCCCTAAACCAGTTACCCCTCCACTATCACTCACTCTCTCTCTCAATCTAGCTCTCCATCCGTCTTCCTGTGATGAAATGAGACACCGAGACACACAATGAGGACTTCACTGCTACTGTACATTCTTTAAAGGAAAGGAAATAACCCTCTTTTCAATCAAGAACCAACCAAACAAAGCTCATTATGAACTTTGTTTACGAGTCTTACTACTAGTTTAAAACTAGTTCACACTAGCTCAAAAAACATTCTACGATGAGCTAAAAACTAAAATTTAAATGATGAAATTACAAAAACTAAAAAGAGTTTCTACAATGACGTCAATGACCTAAAATAAAAAAAACATTGACAATAACATAACAAAAGCTAAAAAAACGTTATATGACGACATAAAAACTAAAAAAAAAATTATACAATGACCTAAGATATAAGAGAGTTTCTACAATGAAAACAAAACCTAAAAAACATTCTACTGTGGCCTAAAAACTAAAAAAAAAGTTTCTATGATGAGATAGCGAAAGCAAAAAACTTCTACAATGACCTACAATTTAAGTTGTTTGTACGATGACATAACAAAAACTAAAAAACATTCTACGATGACCTAAAAACTAAAAAAAAAAATCTATGATGGCATAACAAAAATAAAAAAAAGTTTTTACAATGCCCTAAAATAAAAAAAGTTTCTACAATGACATAACAAAAACAAAAAATTCTACAATGACATACAATTGAAAAAAAACCTCACGATGACATAACCAAAACTAAAAAAAATTCTAATATGACCTAAACTTTTGAAGAAATTATACGATGCCATAAGGAAAATGAAAAAAAAAATCTATGATGACCTTAAGACAAAATATTTTCTACAATGACATAACAAAAATTAAAAAAAGCTTCTACGATGACAGTGACAACTAGAAAAGGTTATAAGATGGCATAAGAACGAAAAAGGTTTCTACAATGACATAAGAAATACATTTCTACAATGATAAAAAAAGGTTCTATTATGACGTAATGCAGGGGTCGGCAAGAAAGTTTGGCATCAGGCCAAAAACAAATTTCGCCGCTAGATGTCGGGCCAAAACATAGTCAAAGGATAATTTAAGAAATTAATTGATGAAAAATGCAACTAGAATTGCCTCTGACAGACTGTTACAGTGTCTTTTGTAACTGGTAGTGAGCTGTTACTCTGTGTTAAACCCTATAGGAGGACATTTGTTAACAGAAAGCCACATTTGTGTGGTGGTGTCCGGCAAAGTATGTGAGCGGAGTGGAGCATCAACAATTTCCCCTCCTCCATGCTCTGAGCATTTAATAATCACTCCGCTCTGGGTTCACCATTTCCCGCTCCCGCTCCACTCCTCGCAGAAACACCGCTCTGCGGCCAAAGCATTTCAGTATGTTTGAAATATCACAGTTCTGTTCATAACGTATATAAAAAAATAAAATAACAGCAGAGTTTCAAAGTGTCTTTTTAGAACATAGTGTTCAAAATTTTTCCTACCACATGAATAACATGGTTGTCAGCATTAAAAGGTATAATTGCTGCTTTTTGCGGTGCAACTTTTGTTTGTGATGAAATAACAGTACGTTTTCATCAGTAATTTTACCTACGGATGCACTTCTTACAGATTTCTGCTAATTTGAAATCGGATAGGCCTACAGCTGAAGTAGCACTGTAAGATTACATTTGTTTGAATGCATTATTGAGAGAGCGATTGCGTGTGAATAAGTGTTGTAGTACTTGTTTAAATCATGCTTTCAGCTGAAAATATTCATTATCTAGAAAGAACAAACAAATTCCTTGAGAACTATAACTTCCCGTTTCATGTCCATTGCCGTCATCATAGCTTCACATTCTTTCTCGTATTTACCTTCTCTATCAAGCTAGCTAAATATGTTTAACATGTGAATTCTTGCTAAATATGCAGTTATTTTACGGGCTGTTGACATGAATTGTACTCGTGATGGAGCGGTGGTGGAGCGCTCTTGGAGCGAGTGAAAACCACGCTCCGACTTTTAAAAAATCCGCTCCTCGCTCCAGTCAAAATCACACCGCTCCACTCCACACTCCGCTCACATATTCTGATTGAGTAACTGTTGCTGTCATGACAGATCTATTTCAGAACCAGCCGCTATCAAAATAATCTGGCTGCGGGCCAGTTTTGGCCCACGGGCCGCCTGTTGCCGACCACTGACATAATGGATATTTAATGTTCTATTAGGAAATAATAGGAACTAAAAAAAGGTTCTGTGATGACATAATGGGAAATAAAGGTTCTCTTATGGCATCATGTGAACTCAAAAACTCATGGGAACTTAAAATGGTCATGAACTGCCTTTGTTTATTATTTTGTACTGTTCTCTGAGGTCCACTTATAATGTTATAAAGATTTTTACACCAAAAACATCATAATTTAGAAGGAATAGACTATTTTCTGTCCTGTTTTTAACCCCCCTCATCAGAACGCTCTTGTTTGATTAGGTGTGGCAGATTGTAGAATCAGAAGTAAACGCCCACTGCTATGATTGGCCAACAGTTATGTATGTTTGACAGAGTACGTTCCTCATAGATGGAAGCTGCTGTGATTTAGGTCAAAAACACATGAATAACAACTCAATACATATCAAACAATCTGTAAGAAGAGACAAAGCAATAGGGACCACGTAATGAAAACAGTCACACTTGTGTTGCGACGTTACCATTACTGTCGGATCCAATATAGTCAGCACAGCAATCTTTCTGAAAATCCCGAGTCGAATTGTGCCTTGTTTGTAAACAATTCTGCAGTATATGAAGTGAACAAAGGACCAAGTTCTTACTGACGTGGTTTGGATCTTCATTAAAAATAAAGTTCATTCACTCTTTCCTAACGTTGGGATCAAAAGGAAGGCAATGCAAACATTGTTTTTCCACAACTTGGCACTAAACAGCATCTTGTTGTATTCAGAGCCATCTTTATCATTTGGTTTCTCTCTCGTAAACACTACATGTGCGAATTGGTGGTCGGGGCTAAACAGGCAGCCATGTCAAAGCAGGCATTGATCTTTTTCTGCAGAGGCGGTGCTTATCCACACTATTACCTCATAGTAAAGCTGTCATTTTGGCAGACTGCCTTCATTATAAGCTGTTTTTAGACTAACGAGAAAGTTTTTGAGTTCTGTTTTTATTGTACAATGACCTTTTTATGTCAAAAGAAATTTTGGTTTCTCAGTTCCATGACCTCTTTAAGAAGGTCCTATTATAAAAAAAGTCATTAGACTGTAAACCTTTTAGAAACTTTATTTGTAAGAGCGTAGCGAACAAAATTAGGGTGTAACAGAGAAGACGATAACCAGATGAGAGATACAGAAGAAATAGAGACAGAGAGAGAAAGAGTCAGTGCTGATGTTTTAATCAGGGCTCTGGCTTCTCTCTGGAGGATTCCTGTTCCTGTCTCAGCGTGTAAAGCTGGGTTTTGGTGCATACAAGTGCCGCCTAAAAATAGATCCAATATTTCTCCCTCCCTTCATCTGCTGCTGATGTCAGAAACACTTCCCCCCCTTATTTTCTCTCTCTTCTTTTTTTTTCTCACATTCTCTCTCTCATGCACTTTCGTTCTCTCATGAAATGTTAATAGGCTGGTCTGAACAAGGTTTTTGAAATGGACTGCCCCCCTTTCGCAACCCCATGCGTGTGTTTCTGAGAAAGATCAACTGTTTTTCTGGTGCTATAAAATCAATATGACAGTCCTCCGCTGAATACCTGTAATAGTCCCATTTGCACCATTTGCACTTCCTGTCGTAAACCTGCTAGATTAAAACAACTGACACAAAAATACAGCCCTAAATAATGATGTTTACGTAATTTTATGGTCCTGTGGTCGAAACTACAATTATAAAAGACACAGCTGTAAAAAAATTATGATAGCCCAACTGCTACCAATTCCCTGTCTGAGATGAGCTGGATGATCAGAGATGTTTCAGAGAGAGACGTTGTGGGATGTTTGTGGGCAGGCAGACAGCGTTTGTGATAAATGCAAGGGCATGAGGTTGTTTTTAACTCTTCAGGGAGGGTTAGAGTTGTTCGACACCGTCCGCGAGACACAAACCTCATTGTTTTCTGCTTTCTTCACCTGCCTGACATCAAGATTGATGAGCTTCTCTCACCAGAAGATCCATCATAGTGTTTTATGTGGTGGGAACAGATGATGCATTGACTGACCGTTTGTGTGTGTGTGTATTTGTGTGTTTGTGTTGGACGTTATGTTTGATGGTGGGAACCTTGCAGTGTTGCATTTTTTTCACGTCTGCAAGGCCAGCGCACAATTTTAATTATTCTGTTCGGGCTGAGAAGGCACTTCGCAACCCAATTCATCTTTTTTTCGCATCCTTTCATTGTCTCTTTCACCTCTGCGCTCCTTATTTCCATTCATATTGCTTTCTTTTGAACATATCCATAGATACTTCTTGTACTAGATTTGCAGTATGCATACTATACTTATTTACATGCGTGTAATACACAGATTTGGAGTTGTTCGGAATACTAGCGGACTATTTACTGCATAGCACGCAGTATATACTGTATACTGAAATATTATGTATTATGCAGCGACATACAATACACAATAGTAAACTACATCATCACAAGACCTCATTACTTCAGCAAGTGTGTAGTATGAAAATTTGTATATGCACAGGATATCTCTAAACATGCACTTGTAACATGACTGCAATGAGGTCATGTGACAATTTAGTATGCTACTGTTGCAAACTGCATACTGTTTTTATAAATAGGAAACAGTATAGTATTCCATTCTGAACATAGCCTAACTTTGGCTGTCTTTGAAATATTAGCTATCTACTGTACATACTGTGCAATATATACTGAAATAGAATGTATTATGCAGCAATAGATGCTTCAAATATTAGTATGCTACACAACTGTCAAAAAAACTTTTTACTGTGCATGTTTACAAAAGCAAGTGTGAAGTATGCACATTTTTGCATGCATACCAGGAAACATTAACTTAATGAGGTTATGGGATAATTTAGTATGCTACAGTTTGAAATGTTTAATGTTGCACTCTTTTTGCTTTATCTTTTAATGTTTTAATCTTTTTAATGGGAAACAGTACAATAGTAATGTAGTACTTTTTTGTGTGTATAGAATATGACAACAATTAAGTATGCTATTGTTTGAAATGTTTACTGTTGCATACTGAAACACAGTATGCTAGTATTTCTTTCTGAATATAGCCCATCACATCACATGTTTGGAATACTAGCATGCTACTAACTGCATAAAGCACAGTATATACTATATAATGAATATATTATGCGGCGTCAAAAATTCCATTACTGTGTATGTTTACTTCAGCAAGTGTACGGTATGCAAATTTTTGTATGCATACTTGGAAACGAGGTCATAATAATGAGGTCATATGACAACAATTTAGTATGCTACTAATTAAAACACTTCTGCTGCATTCTGAATACTGTTTTTGAATAGTCAGCAGTATGATAGTATTCTATTCTGAGCATACTTTATGTCTAGAATGCTAGCATACTACTTACTGCATACCCCACAATATATATTGTATACTGAAACAGTATTGATTACGCAGCGATATAAATTTCAGTAGTTTGTCAAAAAACATTATTGTGCATGTTTACTTCAAGTGTGCAGTATGCATTTTTTCTATGCATGTGATAATTTAACATGCTATAGTTTGAAATATTTACTGTTGCATACTGTGTACTATTTCACACTTAGAAAAACAAGAAACAATATAATAGTATGCTGATATTCCATTCTGCTAGCATACTACACTCTGCATACTAGACAGTATATACTGTATTTATGCAATAAGAAACATAAACAATAAACTTCATTACCTTGCATGTTTACTTCGTGTGCAGTATGCAAATTTTTATATGTAAACATGGAAACAGTTCATGAGGTCATGTGACAATTTAATATGCTACTAACTGAAACACTCCTGCTGCATACTGAATACAGTTTTTTTTAAGAGGAAGCAGTATGCTAGTATTCTGTTCTGAACATACTTTGACTGTCTGGAATGCTAGCATACTACTTACTGCATACTCCACAATATATACTGTATACTGAAACAATATTTATTATGCAGCGATATAAATTTCACTAGTTTGTCAAAAAAATTTGCATGTTTACTTCAGCAAGTGTGTAGTATGCATTTTTTCTATGCATGGACTGTGATAATTTAGCATGCTACAGTTTTAAATGTTTACTGTTGCATATGGTGTACTGTTTTGCACTTAAAAACAAAAAACAAAACAAGAAACAATATAATACTATGCTGGTATTCCATTCCGCTAGCATACTACACACTGCATACCAGACAGTATGTACTGTATTTATGCAATAAGAAACATTTCAAACAATAAACCTCATTACCTTGCATGTTTGCTTCAACAAGTTTACTACACTTCATAAGGGTCATGTGACAATTATTTAGTATGCTACAGTTAGAAATGCAGCAGTAACACTTCAAACAGTACATGCTACATTGTCAATAAACATTACCTGGCATGTTCACTTCAGCAAGTGCATAGTATGCTTTTTACGCATAAAATAATGAAATTTGTATGTATGAAATAATGTTCTACAGTTTGAAATGCTTAATGCTGCATACGGTTTCAAAATATTATTGTTTAGTACACTAATATGACATTACACTTACATACTTCGTACTAAATTCTAGACTGTATTTATGCAGTGTATACTATATTTATGATGTGCTTCAAACAACAGTTACATTATATCAGAAAACATCAAAACATTAACTTCAGCGAGTGCACAGCATACATAGTATATACTGCAGAAACAGTAAGAGTAGTATGATAGTATGTTATTTAGAATATAACATGACTCATTATTTGATCAAAATAGACATTTATACACAAAATTGAAAGCAAAATACTATATTAAACACACTGTAATGAGTTTTGTGACAACTGTGTAGCATACTACTAGTTGAAACTTTTACAGTTGCCTATTTACAAATAATAAGCAGTATACAGTATATATCTCAGAGTTTGTTATTCTAATCAGTATGGATTCAGGGTCATCATCAGTATGAATTGCTGTTGAATAAAACAGTGCAGTTGACTGTTATGAACGTTGTGTCGCGCTCAGTATGATAACGTCTCTCTCTCTCTCTTCCTCCAGGATGACTTCCTGTACAGCGTCTCAGTTATCAGCGGGATTGTGTGTGCTATTCTGTCCGTCTGTAAGTTCATGCTGGGGAAAGTCCTCACTAGCAGGGCCCTCATCACCGACGGTACGTTTCCCCGGAAACCCAACGGGTTACCATGGTGATGGCCAGCCTGATTTATTATTCACAGTGCCGTCGCAATGTGTCTGGTCTTATTTCACCTTAGCCCCTCCCTTTTTGACTTCCCACCAGCTGGAAGCAACAGAATTCCACACGTGAATTATATTTAATAAACCAATTCCATCGAATCCCAAAAAGAATATTATTTTCAAAACACTACCACTTAAGATGTCCTAAGTTTGTTACAAAAATAAATGCACCCACTGTCATTCCAATTCGTTTCCTATCTATAAAATGATGTTGATGAAGAAATGTTTAGCAGAATGTGCTTTTTTTAAATGAAAGATGGAAAGATAGTCAAGCTCCAAAAATGACAACAAATATTGTTTTCAAATAGTAGAGGCTACTTTTATGCTGGTTTTAGGGTGTTTTCATTTGTTAATTTGAAAGAAACTTAAAAAAAAACCTGAAAAAGAAAATACAACAGACGAGTAGATAGACGGATGAGCAGATGGAGGGTGCAGAGACAGACATATATAGAGACACATACGCACAGATGGATACTCGTACACACACACACACACACACACACACACACACGGATAAAATTAAATCATGTGGCTTATTGAGAAGAGGTGTACTAGAGCTTTTCTAACTGACCAAACTTGTGATTTTTGTAATCTAAATCACATTGAAAATAAATGAATGAATGAATTCAAATAAATAAATAAGTGGTGTAAGATTTACATGCAATTTCTGAGTGAAAATAGTTTCAAATAACTACAAAGAAACGGCAAGTAGAATTTAATATGAAATCATGTTTTAATTAGTAAGTTTAGCTAAAAGGTTAAAAAGTTAGTTTAACTAAAATATATATTTCTGATGTCTCATGTTTAGTAAGTTTTGCTAAAAAAGTTAAAAAGAACATTCTGATGCCTTGTTTAATTTTAAGTAGTAAGTTTTGTTTAATTAGTAAGTTTTAGTTAAGTTTGATTAAAATATACAGTGGTGTGAAAAAGTTTTTGCCCCCTTCCTGTTTTTTGTTTTTTTTGCATATTTGTCACACTTAAAAGATTCAGATCATCAAACAAATTTAAATATTACACAAAGATAATGCAAGTAAATACAAAATGCAGTTTTTAAATGATGATTTCATTTATTAAGGGAAAAAAGCTGTCCAAACCTACGTGGCCCTACGTGAAAAATTATTTGCCCCCTCCTGTTAAATCATGAAAGAACTGCAAGTAACCACATTATTTTAGAAAGCAGAGTTAAATTTCACTAGCCACACGCAGGCCTGATTACTGCCAGACCTGTTGAATCAAGAAATCACTTAAATAGAACCTGTCTGACAAAGTGAAGCATGCTTAAAGAGCAACACATCATGCCG